CCCGTAGGTTAGGAGTTTGAACCGAAAACGCCTTAAACTTTGTCGAAAAAGGCCATTCCGGGGGAAAAATTTCAAAACAGTCCCCGAACCACCATGTGGCTCTTATGGATAGCTTCCACATGACAAATAGGACTTGTGACAACTGACGGAATGTAATTCGGACCCATAGGTTAGGAGTTAGAGCCGAAAACGCCTTAAACTTAGTCGAAAAATGGCGTTTTGGGGCCAAAAATGCAAAATAGCACCCAAACCACTATGTCTCTCTCACGAACATCTTCCCCTTGATAAATAGAACTCGTGACAACTGACGGAATGTAATTCGGACTCGTAGGTTGGGAGTTAGAGCCAAATACACCCTAAACTTAGTCGAAAGGGCGTTTCTTGGCCGAAAATTCAAAACAATCCCTGAACCACTGTGTCACTCTCACAAAAAGCTTCCCCATGACAAATAGGATTTGTGACAACTAACAGAATGTAATTCGGCCCCGTAGGTTGGGAGTTTGAGCCAAAAACGCCTTAAACTTAGTCAAAAAAGAGCGTTTTGGGGCTGGAAATTCAAAACAGCTACTGAACCACTGTGTGGTTCTCATGGACGTCTTCCCCATGATAAATAGGATTTGTGACAATAGGTGGAATGTAATTTGGACCTGTAGGTTGGTGTAGACATCCCATTTTTGACCGCCCTTAAGACTTAGGCATTATTGATGGTTTACTTGGTGTTGAAAGTTGTGCAGTGCAAAGGTTCAGTTTCTTTGGCAAGGAGAGAGTCAAATTCCAACCTTACATCCCATTTGAATGGTTTTTAGACCTTAAAACCCTCTCTTTCAAAATATTTTTGAAAAATGATTCTATGATGTTCCGACGCTCACATTTTGTTAAATGTTGCGCTTTTCGATAAACCGAGCAAGGACAAAGTGGAAATGAATGAAAGAGAGATGAAATCTTTGAAAAATCTTTCAAAACATCTTGTTTAGGGATTTGAAGTTGAAGAAAATGAGAGAGGAGAGAAGAAAACTAGTTTGGGAGAAGTTCGGCATGAATCCAGGTAGGATTGAAACTGTGCGACTTCACCAAAACAGGCATAACTTTTTGCACAGTTGGAATTTTGATGCAAGGCTGCCACCATTGGAAAGCTTACTTCTGGGGCTTTAATTTGGACACTTTCTAGCCACTTTTTGGCCTTGCCAGCCACTTGCCAACCACTTTCTCTTCTTGCAGACCAGAAAAAGTAGCTTGCCAACCAGTGCAAGTAGTTGGCCGACCACTTCAATTGGTCAGTAGCTTTCCTGCACTTTCTGCAGATATTTTCCATGCCAGCTGTGCCAGTTGTTGGGCACAGAAAGCATCCTCCATACACGTGTATGGAGGGATTGCTTGAAGCTTAAAACTTGTTCAACAAGCTTGATGCTTGGTTTTCTATAAAAGGGAGCCTCCTCCCTCTTGTCTCAGGTTCAAAATTTTGTAGAGAGAGCTATACATACACTTCTATCTCTATATTGCTCTTTCTCTCTATATTTACATTGGTTTTGTGCTTAAAAGTGCCATTTCTTCACACTTTTGCACACAAACACATAGTGAAACACCTTCAATCTTGGGCTGAGGTTCTTGGAGGTTTGTTTGAAGCTCAAGGCTTGGTTTTTCCCTCAAAAGTTGCTGTCTTGCTTTGATTCTTCAGGGGTGAGCCTTTAATCCTTTTAAAGCCTTGTTGTAGTTGCTTACTAGGCCAACTTTGCATGCTTATTTTGGCTTAACTCTCAACTATAAAAAGCTTCATTTTCAAGCATTTGAAATGTTTGTTTAAGGCTTTGTTGGTGTTGGGGGTGATCTACCCCCTTTTGTGCCTTGTTTGGCCTTGTTTTGGGCCATCACTTTAGGCCTTTGTAATCACCTTTGTTTGGCCTCTTCATCATTGAATTCCAGAGGAATTTCAGTTGTGGAAAGTGTGTTTTAAGGTCTTAAATGGGAGGGGGTGGTCCCCCCTCCTCTTGTCTTGTTAACATGTACTGTTGGCCTATCAAATGAGCATGTATTTCTCCCTTCTTGAGGCTTAGTTTAAGCATGTTTTTGTGACTTTTTAAACATGTTTTAGCTCTGTTTGTGGCTGGCTTGGCCACTCTTTGCATACTTTATACACTTGTAGTGTAATCCTTGCAAACTAGCCTTGTATGCTTGCTATTTTAGCCTATAATTCTAGCATGTTTTGGCGAGTTTAGTGTGGAGACTTGAGAGTTAAGATGTATTATGGAAATTTTGATATTGCAAGGAAATCATGATCTTGATTGGAGTTTTGTTGGTTGCAAGTATATTGTATTGTGGGAGGTACTGAAGAATGTCGAATTATTATAAATATTATTTGTCAATTGTGTGAGGTTATAGAAACTATGGGATATGATGAGTGTCTGGTGTATGGAGTGTTTGTTGTTTGCTTGATAACCTATAGCTTGTTGTTTGAGGGAATCTTCTTGTTTCTATGCCAAACCACTTAGTTAGTTTGAAGGTTGGCACCTTGCCTAGTTTTGAAATAAGAGAATCCTTAAGGAAATTTTAGACATATATGTGCAAAGTATTGATTTAGCTGTGCTGTACATACCTTTTTATTTGTACACATCTTATTTAATCTTTGGTAAACTTAGAATTATCTAGTCGTTTATTTGAAGTTTAGCCTTTTAGGATGATAACTAGATCTATTAGGCTCTTAAAACATATACCATTAAGATTTTTGGAAGTCTATGCTTGTTTTGGAGTATTTCTTTCATGTTTGAACTATGATTTTTGGGTCATGAACTCTAGATGATTTTAAGAGTGGATTTTCTCTATATTTTCCCAAAACGTTTGAGAGCATGAGCTATGTTCTAAAGTGTGAGTGCTGTTTTGGAAAAATCCTTTCAAAATGTGATTAAAACCTAGTTTTGGTGGAAACCCTAGCAATTTGGAGATTTTGGGAAAGAGGTTGAGATATTGTGAAATTCATGCTTGATAATATATTATGTGAGTAAATGGTGGAGAAATTTCTATAGTTGTGTCAAATGAGGGATTTCATGGAGAAATGAGAATTTCAATTTTGAAGCTGGATGAGTAGCTTGTTGTTTGTTTGTCTTGGAAGGACTAAGTTTAAAATGATGATTAGTATGTGAAAAATGTACGTATGATGATATTGCTATATTATCTCTTGGAAGATATATTATGATGTTACATTGATAAGAGATGTGAAAATTTCATCACAATAGAAGATTGTGTGGTGGAATTGAAAATGGAACTATATAAATGCATTGTTACATGTTGCATTGTCATTCCATTTAATCATTGTTGTCATTGATTTTGAATTGTGCATTTGAAAATTATTGCTTTGAGAAAGGAATTGTTTTGTGAAACAAAAACATCTTGAATTTGTTCTGGGGTAAATACGTTGGTAAGTCCAGATAGGGGGTGTAGTTTGGTGTTGGTTAAGTTGGCTAGAGTGTCCATAGTGAAAGATTGAAAACACGCGTGGGGAAGGTACTACGTGCCTTCTCGTTACTAACCGGTAAAGTGGTGATTGATAGTGCTTGATATGCCTATTTGCAGACATCAACTTAGGGATTACCTATGTCGTATTTACCACCACTTGAAACTACATTAAAGTTATTGAATTGTTGCATTTTCAAATTGCATCGTGCACAAGATTTTCAAAAGATAGAGATACATGTTTTGAGCATAACATGACATGTGCATCCATCTCAGGAGACTGTAAAAAATGTATATATTCCTACTAGGTTTTGTGCTCGCCCTAGTGTATTTTGGTAGAGGAAAAGATGTGATGATCCTCCCGAGTTAAATGCGTGAAGTGTATTTTGAGGGTACAAGACTCTTTTTCTTTTGTTATAATTATTTTTGGCAAGACAATGGCTTTACATGTATAGGTTTGATAACCATTTTGTGTAATCGGCCATAAGCCTTGGAAACTTGTAGTCCTTTAGGGCATTGAATTGTATTGGACTTCTTATGCCACATGCGATAGATTCATATTCTAGGGATGTTGAATATATAATCGCATGCGGAATACTTTTGTAAATCTCTAGAGTATAATGAATACAAATGTTAGAGATTTGATGATGATGTTAATGATGAGGCATTATATCTCATATATACTTATGCTATGGAAGCTATTAATTTGAAAAAAAGATCATGTTGTTGGAATATGTTGAGTTTTCTTATGTTAAATACTTTGGGGCGTTTCAATTAACTTTTTTTTAATGATGTTAGAATTATGTTTCAATTAATAATTTTGGTAATTTTATTATTGTGTAGGATAGGGATTATGGATTTTATTTTTTAGTTAATTATGTTAAATAAAAAATTCTAACAAGGGGGTATTTGTAATTTTTCAAACCATAGGGAGCAATCTGTACTTTAAGAAAACCTTAGGGGTGTATTTGTAATTTACCCTAGTTAATTTTCAGTGAGAATTTAAAAATTAAGTAATTAATTACAATTTTAGCAATAGTTTAAAAAAATTGTCTAAAAAAAAGCCACTACTTTTTAACTTTTAGTGATAGTTTGAAAAATTCGCCACAGAAATGTCACTAATTGTAACTTTTAGCGGCAATTTATAAAAATCGTTACAAAAAAGGTCACTAATTATCAATTTTTAGTGACATGGACAAACCAATCGTCACAAAAAAATATTTTTAGTAACGATTTTATTACGACTTATTTGTAATAAGACTTGATGAGAATTAAATCCAACTATTATGACCAATTGATAGTTTATCCTTTAATATTTAAACGGCGTGAAAACTAGGGACCATTTAAACTTCCATTTTGTAGTTTGGGAATCAAATTGACAAAATTTTTTAAAAATAAATTAAGAACTAAAGTGCAATATTTGACTACCAACCATTTAATCAATACTAGTAAGGAAATCATTTATAGCCAATCCACTTATTTAGAGAAAAGTTAGGGATCATGAAAATATATTAAAGTTTAGCAAAGAGTGGATTCATGAGTTTTCTCTTTATTCTCTAATTGTTGGGCCACCAAAATTGAGTTTGAAGATTGTCCACCACCTTTTTGTCCACTTGGAATTCCTTGGCTAGAACATTAACGTAAATCTTTGGATTTGACCCAAACACCGCATTAGCAACGGTAATGACATCGGGATTTTGGCTACTTAGGCCAGAAAGAGCTATTGCATTAGACTTTCCCTCATTAAACTGGAAGTGAATAAGACTCTCTGGGAATACAAAAACATCTCCTGATACAACACCTTTGTGAAGAGATTGTTGCCAAGGTTGGAGGTCACGAAACCCACATGGAGAGTAACCCTCTAAGACCACGAGGATCTCAGTTGCACGAGGGTGCGTGTTGTAAGAACCCACATTTTTTTCATCTTAATCATGTTCATGAGCATTTGCATGATTATGACTTGTTAAGCTTGCATGTGTGTGTTGTGACTTGTTTTGCTTTAGCAAGTGAGATTCGTGCCTTGATTTGAAGCCTTGTGATTTGTCTAAGCGTAGTGTACTTGTCTCGTTCCTTCCTTGATGTTAAAACTTAGGTCACGCCTTGCCTCTAGCCGACGTTATTTCAATGCCGAGGTCTTCCTTAGTCTGGCCTTAGTATCTTGGAACCCCTTGTTGACCTCCGTCCTTGCCTCGACCACATTAGCCGAGATGTCACCTTGCACCCTAGTGATCTCGTCCTGGAGTGGTACGACCTAGGCCGAGGTGTGGCGCATCTAGGCCAAGATGTGGCACAGCTTAGTCAAGTGTTGTCCTTCCTAGCCGAGGTCATTGTCACCTTAGTTGCCGAAGTCCTTTGTTAGCCGATGTCATCCCTTGCCGGGATGTCATTCTGTGTAGCGTGTTAGATTACGCCTTGTTGTTAGCCGATGTCATGCCCCGTCAGAGAGCCCATACCGCTTTGCTTGTTGAACACCCTTTCCACATGCTTTGTCTGGCCTGACAGCCACCTTTTCAGGATGAACCCAACCAGTCGCCGCCACGTGTCTCAGCAGAGGGTTAACCCCAGAACCGGGTGTAGAAAACTATCATTTTGGTATCATAAACTTGCCATGTAGAGAGAGAGAAGCTCTGGAAGAGGGAGAAAGATTCTTGAGAGAGAAGTAGATCTTCAAGCTTGATTCCTAGAGATCGAACCGTTAGATCCGTGTGTTCTAAGGTTAGATTCTTGATCTGCTCATGATGTTCTTTATATTATGTTATTGCATTGCATGATTGAAAATGATTTGTAAGCCATGCATCGTTTTGAAGCTCGATTCTAGAAAGAGAAAATGACATTCATGTGTTCTTCAAGAAAAGTCTTGTTTTGATCCGAAAGCTTTTCGCCCTAGACTCATGTTTCGTGTTTGTCTTTGCATGATTTTCAACTACGGGTACCCAGGTCCATGTTTTCAAAACTCATAGCACGAAAATCCCAGATTTGTGATGGCGGATTATGATCAAGCATTCGTATTTTTCATGTTTCACACTCATGTTCTTCATGTTCATCAACAGAGGGAAACCCAGAGTTTCCCGACCTCTTTCCTTGCATGTGGCCCTCGGGAACACACCCTCGGCAAGGAGGTGTGGAACCTCGCCTAGACCTGGTTGGTGCCCAGCATGTTTCCGAAAACATTTGTGTATATGAGAGACTTGTTTGAAAGCGCATTCAATAGGCTTTGCCATGTGTTGTAGGACTTGGGCTTTGTCTCGACCCGACGTGTGAAGAAACGAAGTGAGTGATATTTTAATAAAGCTATGTTACACTTGCTTTCATAAATCTCGTCTTGCCTTGTTTTGAAAAGTACTTGATCTAGCATGAATGACTATCCCTATTTTGTATATCAATGCTATCTTGTTTTGATGACTTGTCTTGACAGTCCTTAGTGCTAGAGGACTCTAAACTTTTGCAGCACAGCTTGTCTTGACAGTCCTTAGTGCTAGAGGATCTAAACTTTTGCAGCACAGCTTGTCTTGACAGTCCTTAGTGCTAGAGGACTCTAAACTTTCGCAGCACAGCTTGTCTTGACAGTCCTTAGTGCTAGAGGACTCTAAACTTTCGCAGCACAGCTTGTCTTGACAGTCCTTAGTGCTAGAGCTCTAAACTTTCGCAGCACAGGCTTGTCTTGACAGTCCTTAGTGCTAGGGGACTCTAAACTTTTGTAGCACCTTTGTTAATGTCATCCCTTGTACTATATTGATGCTAGTAAGCATCCCTTGAAGTTTTGAAAGACTTGTTAGATGGACTTGGTTCATCCCTTGATTTCATATTAGTTATGCTATGTATTGTTTAGAAAGAGATCTTGAATATCATTCATGCAAAACCTTTATTTCTGATATCATTCACTGAGTATCCAAGCTCACCCTCTCTATATATATGTAGGTGATGAACAAGAAGGCATTGAGGCCTAGACGTGATTGCCGATGTGTTTTGGGTGCTTTGCCGACGTGTTTTGGATTTGCGTTTTGCATCGTCTTGAAGATTATGCTTCTCGGCTTATGTTTTCTTTGTTTGTTTTGGCATATGTCGGCTTGAGAAGCCTTTTGGTCAGGATGTATTTTGTGTTCCATTTTGTTGTATCTAAAATTGTAAGACTTGTAAAGATGTTTGATGTATGGCATTCCATTGGACTTATGCACGGCTCTCATGGACAACTCGGTTTATATGTATATTTTGCTTCCGCTCTTGTAAGCCCCATATTTCATACTCTGATTGTGCGTGATTTTTGTAAGACGGCCTTCGGTAACCTCGGGTTACTGGCCATCGCGGCACCAAACTACTAGGGGCGGTTTGGGGGCGTGACACGTGTGGGGTGGTTGAGGCCATTAACGCGAGCTAAGGAGATGCCAAGAATGTTGGGACCAGGTATTTGCATGATGTTTACGGAAGTGACCGTTGATCCTACTTGATTGGATGTGTTTCGTGGAGTGAGGAGGCTGGAGAAGAAAAAGTCATTAGCTGTGGCAAGCTTCGTGTCATTGCAGAATTTCCCATTTACGAACATTGCTTGCAAAGAAATAATATTGGGTGAAAGAATATCATTACAATATTAGGCTAACTACAATTTTCATCTTCAAAGTCTACGTTTTGTATCATTTTAGTTTCCAACATTTAGAGTTATAAAACAAACTAAATTACTTGAGTTTGACTTATTAAAAACTCATTTGACTTCGATTTGTTATGTAAATAAATCAAATTTAAATATATTTTAAAAATCGTTAAATTTTCAAGTTAATCTTAAACATCCTAATACTAGATTAAATAAACTTATATATATGTTATAAAAATCAAACTACTCGAATTCGACTTGTTATCAGCTTGATTAAAACTCATTTAAGATCCACTAGAAAGATAAACAAACAAAACTAGAACGTATTTTGAAACTCCTTGAGTTTTTAATTTGAACTTAAACAACAACCTAACACTCATCTTGTCTCGTTTCATTTATAGCCAACCAACAATTTAATTGTGTCGATTTCAACTGAAAGTATTAAGGCTCTGTTTGTTTTCAGAGGTAGAATGGAGGGGATTCAAAATGAGGGGATTGTTAGTGATGGGATTAAGTAAAATTGTATTTGTTTCGATGATAGTTGTTAGCGTATGAATTGTTAAATTGTTTTTATATAAAATAATAAAACAAATAAAACATATAAAAAATTAAACATTAATGTTTTAAAAAAAATTCTCAATATGTAGAAAATAAAAAAATTTCTAATCCCTTTACTATTTTTCTAATACCACCCCCACCTCCACCTCCACCTCCTCAATCCCAATCCCCTTTCCAACCTCCATCTTAATCCCCTCCTCCATCCTAATTCCTTCCCCAACTTTACAAACAAACACAACACTAATAATTCCAACTCCATCTTAATCCCCTCCCATCCATTACACCCAAAAACAAACAGGGTCTAAGAGTTTGAAGTGGTTAACATGGCTAACACCATCAATAAAGTATTAAGAGTTTTAAAGTGGTTGACATGGCTAACACCATCAATATAATTCCAACTCCATCTTAATCCCCTCCCATCCATTACACCCAAAAACAAACAGGGTCTAAGAGTTTGAAGTGGTTAACATGGCTAACACCATCAATAAAGTATTAAGAGTTTTAAAGTGGTTGACATGGCTAACACCATCAATATTCATCATTACAATCAGGAGTGTCTTTTGAACAAAAACAATACACCTAAAAAAACACATCCATTTACAAATTGACCCTCCAGGAAAAAAAAAATGTTAGGGATAAAAAATGAACAAAATGTATATTTTAGAAAGCATAATTTGTAATTAATCATTTTTTAATTTTTGCTGTGGTGTAATTTTTTGTCCCAAAAATGCTTATGATTTTGACAATGAATATTGGTGGTAGTAATTATGGATACCGCCGTAATATGTATTTAATAATTTGGAAATAAAACTAACACAAATTAAAAAACCAAAATCATATATACTGCATATTTTAACAACCAAAATATATAATTAACCATTCAATAAATGACTTCAAAATGAAAAGCCCATATGGACTATTAGAAGTTGAAGTTTTAATTATAATCAAAATGCAATTGCATTAAATAACTTGTTACTAAAATCATATTTCAAAACATGGGACTTGAGTTAGGAAGGTATAAAGTTGGGAGATAGAGTTGAATTACCTGCAGATTTAGAGTCATTAACAGCAACGCAGAAGTCTTGTAGAGGACTTGAGTCAGTAACACAGACAATTGTAGAAGCTAAGACCATAATGGCTATGCTTAGAAGGATAAAGTGAATGCCCATTTTAATTGAAGAAAATTGGAATTTCTATGCCTAATTGTGCTTGAAAGGACGGTTGTAGATTTAGTATGGAAAAAGTGTCTATTTAAAAGTGGGATTTCCTAGGTTGTTCCAATTATCTGTGGAAAAAGAAGGGCGATTGAGTTCTTTTATGCAAATGAGGGATAGCTCAAGGGTTGGAATTGGAAGCTATTGTTCAGAAGACCACTTCTTGCTTGGGAGGAAGAGGAGGTTAGTAGGCTGCAAGTGTTGATAAGAGATGCTCCTTGGCTTAAAGTGGGGGCTACAGGACTCAATTAGGTGGAATGCATCCCTAGATGGTCAGTTTACTATAGCAGCAATTAGATAATGGTATGAATCGAGTCAAGGTCCAAGATTTCAGGTCTCTAGGTTAATATGGAAAGGTGTAGCTCCACCAAAAGCTCAGTTCTTGAGTTGGTTGGCATGGAGAGGGAGGGTGAAAACAACTGGTATGTTAAAGAGGTTTGGGGCTGTGAGTACTATTGTAGAGAATCTATGCCCTTTTTGTAAGGTGGAAGAAGAGTCAGTGGATCATATTCTATTGCAGTGCTCTAAGGTTTGGAAGGTTTGGTCATCTCTGCTAAATTGGTGGGGCTTATCTTGGGTCACACCTGCTATTGTTGATGGAGTGTTGCTATGGTGGCTGGGAACAGAATTTAAGAAGATAGTTAGGAAGATTTGACAGCTTGTACCAGTTGCAATGCTGTGGTCAACATGGAGGTTAAGAAATGACTATGTTTATAATGGGAGTTAGCCGAACAAGGAGGTGCTTGGTGAAATTGTAAAGATGAAGATTGGGTTGTGGGTGAAGTTTGGGTTGCCTGTGATCCCTTATTCAGTGCATGATATTGTGGAGAATATGAATTAGGTATGCTATTGTGTGAAGTAGGGAATCAGTTCTTGCGGATGCAAAGCTGCTGCTAGATGTTGCTACTGCTGGAGAGTTGTATTGGCTGTTTGATTGGGGGTGTTCTGTTTTTTTTCAGTTTCCTTTTTCTTTCTTGGCTGTTTGATTGAACTCTCTCCAATCTTGGGCTATGTAATGGCATATGATTGGGCTAGCTCTTCGATGCCAACCTAGTTGGGATTGTTGAGTTTAGTTATGATACTTGTTGCACTGCCCTACTTTATTGATGTAAGTTCTCCGCTTGTATATAGCTTCTTCATCAACAAAGTTTCCTTTTTTGACGATAAAAAAAAAAGAAAAAAAGATAGACAAGAGTAGTTAAATTTGTTATTATATAAATTCCAATACCAATCAGAATGCCAAGTCTTCAATGGCTAATTGTTTTCAGCAATCATCTTTCCCCCCCACCAAAAAAAAACCTTGTTGACATGCACAAAAAAAAAAAAAAAAAAAAAAAAAAAACATGAACGGTTCTTCAACAACTGCAACCATTTCTAGTTTATTTTTTTGATTGCTTGCATCATTCTATTGAATTTTTTGTTATATATTTTAATTATTTACTATTATTATTTTTTTATTAAAGACAATTTCAATTGTCTCATCCTATCATCTAATATAAATTTTTAAGAATAAACTTTCTGAGAGTTTTTGCGTCATGTTGAGAGTTTAGAGTCCCGTTTGAAAACAAAGCTAAGTTCATAAAGCTATTTTACAATTATTGAATAACCTCCATTACAAGTGTACGGGAAAGAAATAAAACTTCTCGTATAATCCTGTTGATTAAGTCCGCGTTCCTCCAAACGTTGTCGCTTTACTCCCTGAAAACACAAACGTGAGCTAACCGGCAGGTGTGTGCCGGAAACCCCTCCGATGCCTAAGTCAGCAAAATAGACAAGTAGATAAAAGCTCTGTGTATTCAGGAATCAAAGTTGTGTTACCTCTCCATAGGTGATGTTGGTAAGCTTTTATAGGTTCCGTGTGGCACAATCCAAATAGGACTCTTACTCCTCCATGTAGAGTCCTCTTATGATTCATACTCCTGAAAGATAGTGCCTATCCTTCAACACCCCCCTCACTGTTTAAACCAAGTGAGATGGTTTTACCATGGTCGGACTCCAATGTGGCCGAGGTACGCATGGCTATGCTTAGCCGCAGAACAGACCGAACTATCCTTATTTATAATTTAAGACATAAATGGGGAAGTATAGATTCTTAGTAGAGACACCTGGCGGTTTGGCTGAATTCCGAAGGGAGTACAATATCTCTGACGATGTCCACCTCACTTTAGCTAAGCAAGATATTACTCCATGGGGGAACCAAGGTTTTGTACCCTTCACCCTTCTGTCCATAGTAGAAACCGGACTAAGATTTCCTATTCAACCCTTGCTTTGTGAATTCTTTACGCAAACCATAATTTGCCCAACCCAGCTTTCCACAAACTCATACCGTATAATAAATGGTATAGCCGAACTAAACCGCCGTGCTGGAATTAACCTCGGTCTAGCCGAGATCTTCCATCAGTACTCCATAGGCTCAAAAGAAGATGGCTGGGTTTATTATCTTAGAATACGTCGCCGCTGAGAGAAAATAATAAAGGACACACCGGATAAAGACTTGAACGACGACGACTTTTTCTGGGTATCTGGGAATTTTGAAGATCACCATGCCCAGATCCCTGGCCGTAGTATAAATTGGAAGAAAGGAACCCCCAGTATAATTACTTCGGTTTCTTTGACTGTTTCTCTTTTATTTCGGTTTTCTATTTCTGAACCGAGCAAACAGTTGTCTTCTTTATGCAGACTCAGCCCATCTCAAATCATTATACAGTTACCCCAACCTAGACACACTTCGCGCCGCACTACGATACCTTGAAAGAAGTTTGGCCAAGCTTCTGGATTTTGAGCCGACATACCGATATAGGAGCCGACGAAAAGCCAGAGTAACAGACTTTTTGCTAGAGGGCGCCCCTGAACCATACCCCACTTTTCCCCAGATCAATCTTGTCCGTTTGACTGCCGAACAAGAGATGGCCAAAAGGAACAAAGTAAGGGCCATTCTTACTGAAACAAACAGAGCCGAGGTACCACCACCGAACCAAATTCAGGAAACCGTGGTGGCCCTCCCATCTCAACAACCCTCTTCATCACGCCCCAGCAAGCGCGCTCGGACTACCCAAACCGAGCAACGCCTTGCTGATGAAGATGAAACCATCCTTCCACCAAGCCCTCCACCAAGTCCGCAACCGGAGTGTGACGACCGAGCTAGCTCCTCCAAATGGTCTCCCAAAATCACTTTTCAAAACCGAGCTATTCAGGACACTGACTCGGTAGTCGCTGAAAAGGATCACATGATGGCATTCAACCTTGCCAGGAGTGTTTGCCTCCCAACAGACATGGAGCATCACAAAAATCTAACCGAACTAAAAGCCATTCGTTCAGCCACGAAATCCATGGTGCTTGTAAGTATATTTTTCTGTTGACCTTTCTAATTTGCACGACTTTTATCTCGGTTTGATCACGAGTCTTTCCTTCTTTTGTAGGTCATGCAGAAGAGCCACATTGCCCATAAGCGTGTGCTGGAGCTTCGCAAAATAGCAAGGCAAGCCATGGCCGAAGTTGAAGAAAAAACCACCGAGCTAAAAGAATCCAAACAGAAGACAACCGAGCTAGAGGCCGAGGTAGCTCGTCTAACCGGACTAGTTACCTCGGCTAATGCTGATAAACAGAAGGCACTGATCGTGATGAAGGATAAGTACCTTCGTGAGCTAGTCAAGCTCGAAGGAAAGAAAAATGCAGAGATTGTCGAGCTATCGAAGAAGATGAATGATGCAAATGCTGAAGGCTTCAAGGAGGGGGAGGCCCTCTACATGCGACAATGTGAGGCCGCTAAAGATCTCTTCTTTAAATGCGGTTGGAGGGCAGCCGTGGTGCAGCTCGGTTGTGAACCTGAGACCGAGGTCTACAATCCTCCTCAGTACTTCATACCGAGCTCGCTGGCGGAGTACGCTACATCCGTCCAACAACAGTTTCTTGAGGGTTCAGATGATGATGAAGACACCGAGACCAATAATACCCCGGTCGTCAAGGATCAGGCCAACGATCAATCAGCTCGGTTGGAGCCAACGGTTGAAGACCTGACGGCTGAAACTGTGCTTCCAATAGACACCGAGCTATCAACCGCGACCGATCTACCGCTCGAAACCGGTCTTCGTGTTGACATTGATGCTGATCTTGATGATCTGTTCAACTGATTCTGTACTTTCTTTTCTTATTTGCTTGTTTTCAATATTTTCTTCTTTCCTTTTGGTCTTGTAACCGGACTGAGGCCCTTCCTTTGTATTTGCTTTGAATTTGATCAATGAAAATCATCTTTTGTATTCGACACTTATTCCGATTTTGATCTGTATGCTTGCACTTGTAATGAGTTTTTTGATGAATTTTTTTGCTCTAACTGTTATCTCGGTTTACTGTCCTATTTGTGCTTGCTTTCTAACTGCAACTTGAATGAAGCACAATATTTTTCGGCCGAGATACTTTATTCCGGTCTGAGCTGAGCAATCTGACTGAACTTACTAGCCAATCACTCTTTAGCCGATATCCTTACTTCGGTTGAAGAGTGATAAGGGTTTAATCCAGCCAACCTCTAGGTTTTTCTTCCAGCCAACCACTCTTTAGCCGATGTCCTTACTTCGGCTAAAGAATACTAGGAGTTGGTTTAGTCCAGCCAACCACTCTTTAGCCGATGTCCTTACTTCGGCTGAAGAATACTAGGAGTTGGTTTAGTCCAGCCAACCACTCTTTAGCCGATGTCCTTAACTTCGGCTAAAGAGTACAAGAGCTAGTTTAATCCAGCCAACTACTCTTTAGCCGATGTCCTTAACTTCGGCTAAAGAGTACTAAGAGTTGGTTTAGTCCAGCCAACCGCTTTTTAGCCGATGTCCTTACTTCGGCTGAAGAGTATCAAGAGTTGGTTTAGTCCATTCGGCTAAAGAGTACAAGAGTTGGTTTAATCCAGCCAACTACTAAATTGGTTATTCCTGCCAAGTTCGAATAAAATGTTTGGTTATTCCGACCAAACGTCCTGCAGCCTGGATCCTTATTCTGGGCTTAGGAGGGGTGTTGGTTTTTTCAGCCAACCTTTAGATTGGTTTTTCCAGCCAACCTAAAGTAAAGTGTTTGGTTTATTCCGACCAAACGTCCTGCAGCCTGGATCCTTATCCTGGGCTTAGGAAGGGTG